GTGAATTTCAAGTGTGCATCCGGACTTTGATCATTTGATGATCATGAATTATTTTGATAATGAAAAACATGTTAATATAATGATTTTTCATTAGACTGAATAGTCATTTAGGAATGTTATTGCACCTGTCATTCTCAATCAGGTTATGTAAAGCAAAGCCAATGTTTGGTTTAACTTGATATTTACAATTAGATTAGGTATGGTTATACATATGTGTGCCTGACATTTGAGCTTACGCATTGCATAGGAATATAAGGCGTTATTGCACCCTTACTATGCAACTTGAAAAGAGGCTGGAAATGCAAACAAAATTTATTATATCTGTCCAAGTTTTTGTGATTATTTGTAAGAAAACATGGTTGAGCGTATAATTTTCAATAAATTCATCTGCAAGGATTACGTGATGCCACAGGGTCAAATTTCAAGGTGCAGAATAAAGGTCAAAAAGTGTTAATTCAAACTTATATACTGCCTTCTATATAACAATAATGACAGATTATGGATTGCCTATGCAATTAGCTTTCCAAAGACACCCAATATCCAATCATTTGGCTTAGTAGTTACATGAGATTGACCATTTTGAAAATTGACGTGCCCGTGTGTCCATTTTGGCCAAAATCGCCAAAAAAGGGCGTCGCTCCCGGTTATAGCCGGCGGAAATACGTTTGTCCGACCGGAGCTGTAAATTTTTGAAATTTTCAGCTTTTCAGCCTAATATTACACCATAAACCAAATTTCAGCCAATTTTGAAGGATGGTCAGGTGTGTAAATTTCCATTTTTTTTTTTTTGGGTGATTTGACACGGTATTAGACCCATTATACATCATACTATACATATATACTATACAGTAATTACATATAAATATACACTGTACAACCTATAACATTATACTATAAATTATCATATATACTATACAATTATACATATATACTATACATATACATATTATATATTACAATATTATACTATAATAATAATTATACTATACATACATATATACTATACATATACATATACTATACATATACATATATACTATACATATACATATACTATACATATACATATATACTATACATATACATATACTATACATATACATATATTACGCATTAATCAGCTTTACATTATGACGTATACATTAATATACATTAATATACTATTATTTATAGTATACATATAATATATATATACATATACATAATATTATATACATATACATATATCACTATTACATATAATATACTTATACAATATAGAAGGTGCAGCTATAAAATCCAAGGCCATTGCGAGCAGGCAATAGCATGGCACTATGTAGAATCCACCCAGAAAGCATCCCTGCAGATATTTTCTCTCGAGGCATTGACATCGTCCCTCGTGACAGAATCCCTCCATGCAGCAACCCTTGATACAGAATTCCTGCAGATAGCAAGCAAGCAAGCATGCATCGTACATGAAGACAGCAAGCACACAGGCGTCCGGGGGACCGGATCTGATAAATAGTTGCATTCTAGACATCAAAATTACTGCTCAGATGCTCTCAGAATGCACCAATTTTTAAAAATTTCCTTGGGGGAGGAGCCATAAGTGGCCTTCGGCAGCTTTTTAAAATACCAGAAAAATTAAGCAGGAAAAAGTGGCCTTTATTTCTTCCTGGACACCCTCCTTTCAAAAATCCTGGATCCACCCCTGCTGTTCCTGTGTTTGTAATTTGTATGCATGCTGGGATGTAACTGTGTCCACTTGTTTGTTTCAGATACGTTTCGCGCCGCAGCAGAAGCAGGCCCCAACGACATACTCAAGCTATACAACGCCAAAGGAAACATTGTCAACATATCACCAAAGCTGGACCCCAACCCTCCGGACCAACCCTACAAGTTAGAGGTGGTTGCTACGCAATGTACAGGTGAGTGTCCGGTCGGGGACGAACGCACGAGTTTTTCGGTCGCGAATACTCGCATGCTTGCTTTAGGATGCTCCGAAAAAGACGAACCTTTGAACCCGGCAAATATGCACAACCACCACAACTAGAGCATGATGCCACGGGTTTATATATATATTATTTATATATATATACACGTTGTTTACCAACACTGCGTAGTAATAAACATTGTTGTACGCAAGTAGACACGGGATTTCTGTCCCCCGATTGACGAAAGTTGATCATTAGTTTACTTACCGCTTTGACTGACCTCCTGGCATAACTTTATGTGTGTCCTCGACTTTACTGTGCAGCCGTCTCAGGCAGGCCTGGGTCCCTCTAAGTCGCCCTGATTAAATAGAGACCAAACGTGGACGGTGATTACCGATATAGCAAGGTTTCTTATACATAGGAGGCACAGTGGCGCACCACCGTTGTCAGATTTAACATCGCCGTTGTGAAAATGTCCCTGTATTTACTGATAAGTATATTCTGTATCTATATATATATATAAGTATATCAATACATCCTGTATTTGAATCCATCATGCGCGTTTTCCCCCAAACTGGCCATTAATTACCTCCTTTGTCTAATTTTCGGGGGATGCTCCATTAGGAGCGTTCCCAACATTAATGTCATTAATGTCGTGATATAAAAGAGATATAAAGGGGGGGGGTGGATCGATATCAATTAGATATCAAGAGGGTTAGATATGAAATAGATATCAAGGGGGGAGGGGTGGATCGATATCAATTAGATACCAAGGGGGGGTTAGATATGAAATAGATATCAAGGCGGGGGTTATATAGGGTATATAGAGGGAGCAAGCAACATTGAGACTGGGGTATGTTCGCTTCGTTTCGCTGGACTTCGCTCGGCTTCGTTGCTCGAGCAAGCGAAATACACAGCGGGCACATGTTCGCTTCGTTTCGCTGGACTTCGCTGGGCTTCGTTGCTCGAGTAAGCAACATTGAGACTGGAGTATGTTCGCTTCGTTTCGCTGGACTTCGCTGGGCTTCGTTGCTCGAGCAAGCAAAATACAGAGCGCGGCCATGTTCTCTTTGTTTCCCCCATTTTCCCTCAGAAGAAACCTTATATAGGCTGCTTGGCCTGGTCGCTAGTGCAATGCTTTAATGGGTATGTTTTTCTTGCGGGTCAATAAGGCATAGGATATATATGTAGGAAAACGCAGGCGTGCTGCTATATTGAATAAATGGAATGTGGAATATGTGCGAGAAATGCGCTTATTAACGACCTGCAGTCAGATGAAAGCGCCAACACTGCGCTTGGCAAGTAGGTCAGATTTGAATATATTGGGAATCGCGTTCGAAAAACACCTCCCAGCAGCTTCCCGGTGGAGAACATTGCGGTTGTCGCGGTGATCGTGTGAGTAACTACCGGGTGAGCTGCGAAGATGGTTATTCCTAAAACACGGAGGAATAACAACGTAATCGCATTGCATCGTGTCTATCGCTGCCACCTGCACAGTCATTAGTTAACATGAGCCCGCAGCCCCGAGCAAATTCTTTCGGGGAGCGCAAATTTTTCCGTGACTGGGCTGAGTAATGATGAAGAAGGGAAGAGAGACTTCCGATGTTCATGTGCATATTGTGATGCGAGGAGAGGAGGAGAGGAGGCTGAGGGTTTCACTAATAACGACTACATGATACGTTGATTACCCCTTGCTCCCAGTGCCGCCGAGAGGGTCTATGTCTCCCTGGGTACTGCCGGAACGTACCCTGGGATACCGAAACGTACCCTTGTATACTATCTAATATGCCGGACCGTACCTCGCCTACTCCACTAACGAGTCTAGGGAGTCGCCTACGCCTACGCCTACTCCCTAACCCGAACCCTAACCCTAACCCTAACCCTAATCCTAACCCTAACCATATCAAATAGTGACCAGGGTACGTTCTGGTATACCGGACCGTACCCAGGGTACGTTCCGGCAGTACCCTGGGGGACATAGACCCCATCAGCCCCAGTGCCTATAGCCTTACACACATCCTTAGCAAGTACTTGTTTTCAGTTGTATTGCCTTGCGTACATTGTTTTGCTACTTGGCTCTCTGTTTCAGGGAATATAGGAACTCATCTCGGATTTGACATTGATGGACTGGAAAGCAGGTATTGCACGTGTGAGATTTGAAACTTGTTTAGCAGGCAGTTCTGTAGAGGTTTCCACTAGCGCATGCTGGAATTAAGATTACATTTAGACAGCGATCACTTGTCTAGCTGCTAACAGTATCAGATGATGGTCGCGCACTCTCGCACGCACGCACGCACGCACACACACGCGCACGCACGCACGCACGCACACACGCACACGCACACATACATACACAGACACAAACACGCACGCACGCACGCACGCACGCACGCACGCACGCAC